GGCACTAACCGACTGACACCTTACTGCGGGCAGAGGTTGTACGCGACGCTAGACTGGGCATACATTCACATCACCAGATCAACCTGCCTGACTGCCGGCGTGCTGTGCCCGCTGCGTACGAGCATGGCGACTACGACCGGAAGTCCGGCGACTTCCTCCGACAATTATATCATGGATTAGCATAACTTAACATGACATAAAGAAATACACATAAATTGTTCGGAGGGTCAAAAATATAATTTAATATGATCAATGAGACGTGAACGACCGTGGCGTGCGCGACGTGCGCAGCCCATGGCCTCGACCATTTTCTTCGACCGATTGACAACTTTCCCTGACAATTGATACATGACTGATCATAATATATCCAATAATGACTAATGAAACGTGAATCGCTCGGGAGTTGACGAATAAAATGGACATGGCTTGGCATGGCTTAAATGGTACGACCGAGAGCAATTATGGCTTATTCATGAACTTAAACATATGATTCTAACTTAACATGATAAAATTAACATTAAAACAGGGTCAAGATGAGATTACCCTCTCAATTGTTCGATCAATGGTACAAAAATCTTGTGATCGTTCGGCCCTTGCTCGTTGTGCGTACGTGCGTGTAGTTCTTAAGACAACAGCTTCCTAAGTTAACTCTTGCTTTAAATCTTAGTTTATGGCTTAAGTTCAGATTTTTATATACCCAAACTTCACTCATGGTTAAATGTTTAAATAGAAGGAAAGGTGAAATTTGGTAAAAATTGGGCCAATAGTCGTGCGCCTCTTGCCGTGCATTGAGAGGTCTTGGTGGCTTCTATTTTGCTTGGTCATTATATAGGTGGCACCCAAATACTTGCATTAGTCATCACATGAATGTTATTAAGATGCCACATAAGCTAGCTAGCAATGATGAAGTTCACATGCATCTTACCCCAAAAACTTTCGGTATATGACTTGGCTTAGGCTAAGCATGATCGGCCTTGATGATCATGGCCTAAGCATGATTGGTGCTAAGCAAGATTAGGGAACGCACAGCAATTAGGCTTGACTAATGGATCTTGGGACATGTGATAGTCGTGACAATTAACTATATACTTAGAACAATTTAAAATTTAAATCTTAGACCGAACTTAAAAAAATTCGGTCGGAACATGACTTCCAAAATTAATCCGAACGTTCTTGACTTGAATAATTAGTCTCGAATGATAATGGTCGATAAAGTAAATATTTCGGAACTAAACACGTAATCTACATTAATAACATAGTGGGCTATTACAATCTGCCCTCCTTAAAATATTTCCGTCCTACGAAATATAAAATTGAACATATGTACATAGAACATAAGGGAATATATATATATATATATATATATA